GGGGCTCCGCCAGACGTGGGGACGGGGTTGAAAGTGGAGTTGGGATTTCGATTGCGAGGCTCTGACTGGGGCGTCGCTCACAGGATGCGCATCGAAAAAGGTTTTCTTGAGGCTGCGTCTCGGTACGTAGTTTAGGCAGGGCTCCAGGTCACTCTGTAGCCCCAGGCTGGCCTCGAACTCTTGGAGAGCCACCTGCCTCAGCCTCCCGAGTGCCGAGATGATAGATAGGCTAGCACCACTGCACTAGGCTTCGTGCAAAAATTTTTTCTATTTTCCTAGATCCCCTATTCTCGTCACCCAAAGAACTGAGTAAAGAATTATGAGTCGCCCTAAGAATGAACTCTCTGGGCCTCTGGATGGTGTGGGAATCACTGTTTTCAGTTTTTTACAATTGAAAAATTTTCATTTTCAAATGAAAGTGAACAGCATTTTCTGAGTGTTTCCTACACTCCTTCCTCTCCCTCTTCCTTCCAGGTTGAAAAGCCGATAGGAGGTATTTGAGAGACTAGAAGATTGTAAATGTGCTTTGGAGAATCACTGAAATGATTCTAAATCCCACTGATTGGTGGGATTGATTAGCAACGAAAAGGTTAAAACCCTTAACGGCAGAACTCCGGTTAAATCCACCATTTTAACGTTATCCAGAGCGAGCTGTCACAAGCCAGCATCACTGACCCAGACTTCAGGGATCTATTCAGTCTTCCTAATGAGTTCTGACTTACCTCCTTTAAAAGAGAATGCGTGTAGATTTCTTGATCTACAGCTACCAAACCTCTTCTGTAAGCACGAGAAAATGGTCTTGTCAAATCGCAAGTTTATTGTTTTGTGTACTTTTTTGCACCTTTCGACACAGTTTTAAACACAACGCATGTGTTCCTGAAAGATCGACAGGGCTGTAGGTGATCTAACAAAGATATTCTTTAGATAATCCCATTTGTTGCCAGAACTTTTCCCACATCCTCAAAATCCAATCAATCTCTCGCTCTACCACTCTTTTTTTCGGAGAC